ACGTTTCGCTCATATTTCACTCGCGATATTTTTGACTGCAACTTCCAGGAAGGGCATTCCTTGGATAAAGAGGGATGGCAACCAGAGCAGTTTACACAAACATGTGTTTTATCACACAGGCTACTGTCTTTGCATGCTCCAGCACATCGTTGGCATGCAGTTGGATTGTTGCAAGACTTGGAGCCGTGACCATATTTCTGGCAAGAATAACATTTTAATGGACTGGGAAAAAAAGTATCAACCCTTAAGCTGCAATAACCGGCTTTCAGTGATTGTGGGTTGACTGGCAGACAGAATGTGAAGAGATATGTATTAGTTTGGAAGAGTTCATTATTCCTTTTAGCAGTGAAGCGTTTGACATGATTAACGCCTTAAGAATGTAACTCTGTGACCATGTCACCTTCACTCAAGTCTGAGAGGCAACGTCCAATATCACGGACGAACGATGCCTTTGCTATGATTTAATGTCCTGTGAGGGGACACCTCCACAGGAACATTAGCTAATAATGTTGTTTTTTTTAGAATCTTTGATTGGATTTCTTTCCTGCATTCAATTAGGAGGGAACCAGATCGCAACTTTTTTATTTCTTTCACCTCTCCAGCCAAACCTTCTATGCCCTTTGATACATCAAAGGGATTCAACTTGAGAGGGCCACCATCAGGTGCACACATTACAAAGTATCGAGGCCAATTATCGGGGTTGGTGAAAGTTGTTTGGACTTCATCCTCTGAAGACAACGAATCGTCAGATTCGTGTGTACGTATTTTCGGTGGGGTGCCATGGTTGAATTATATATGATTCACCCTCCCAGCTCTTGACAGACTCAACCTAAGTTGCATTTTCGTATCAGCCTTTGTGTATCAGCCTTTGTTTCTTTGAGAGACTTAACAATCCTGTACCGCTTTTTAGTGTTTTTTGTTGTCGACTATCTGCTTCTTTACGTGAGGCAATTTGGACTTACGTACAAGGAAGTTGGCCCTATGTCTACAGGCTTGAAACAGTTGTCTGTGTACAACCAGTCCAATAGAGTGCCATCTCTTTTCTGCACGTTCGTGTTTAGCTTTGAAAATGTCGTCGGTCATCCAGGCAGGTCTAATAACTATGGTGGACGACCTCCGTGGTGCATGCTGATCGAGGACCTCGGACAAAGTATTATTGTATGCTACAGCTTTGGCATCAGTGGAATCAATGCCCGCAGTATTTATGTCCGCTAGAGAGTTGTGCAGATCCTCAGGGATTTATTGGAGATCTTCTATATGCCCTAGAATGGACATTTTCCATGAGTTCAAGTGACCCATATTTGTGGAATAATTGAATTATATTTTCTTACCCTTTTTGGGTTCTGCCACTTAGTTTTTGGAAGAATCTGGCTTTTTACTTTTGGTTTTAACGATTTGTCGAAACCTTGTTGTCGACTGAGAAGATGGTTTATGTACCGGAGCTGACTGATTGAATTCGAGATGTAGCAGGAAGTGATTCTGCTGTTTAAGTATATGTGGCAGGTGAGATTTATTTTCTGGATAATGGATGTTTGTTCTGAGTTTTGAACCATTGTTTTGCATCTGCAATGTTTTTGGGTAAAATTTATTATTGATAGCCATTTACTGTTTCAAAACAGGACAATTTTGAGAGAAAGATGGGTGATCCCCTGCGCAGTTGTTGCACTTTTTGACATTATTGTCACAATCTTCTGGTGAGTGTGTGTGTTGTTTCACCACAGTGACCACACACAACAGACACTGTGCAGTATTCACGCCATGGCCGAACTGTTGGCATTTGAAACACCTAAGAGGATTCGGGATGGTACGTGTCAACATTGATATTACAGTACCTAGTCTTAAGTGATTTTGGAGCAGTAGATGAAGAAAAGGAAAACAGATAGGTTTTAGTTTTAATGGTTGTATTGTTTGTATGGGTTGAGAAAAGTTTGACATAGAGTACACCTTGATCTCTCTTCTCAGAAACGATATCAAGTTCCTACATGTCTGCCAGGAATTGTTCACGATCTCTGACGATTCCTTTGCTCGTGTTGTCTTGCGAGCCGTGACAGTAACTGGAATGCCAACAAAAGTGTCATTGTTCAACAGGTTGGTCTTTTACGGCACTCAATCACCAGCGCACCCGACCGTAATCTTGCAATATTCTTCACATCGCTGACAATGACTTGGATACTCTTAGACACAGCGAAAGGGTTTAACTTAAATGGTGTGTTATCTTTGGTCTAAACGACAACACAACGTGGCCAGTAATTAATTGATTTGGGCAGTATGAGGTCGTTATCAGCAGGATCATTGTCAAGCGGACGTTTTTTTATTATTTTGTGGGGGTTTCATAAGCCATTGTTAGTGTTAAGATTTCTTCAGGCACCCTTGAAGAGCAACCTTCCCTTGGTGGGTGCTGGTTAACGCTAATAGCTCTTCATCCCCGTGTGGACCCGGGGGCATATAGATCCACAGCACCCCACTGCTGGTCGTAAGACCGAATCGGGCAACCTGTTTGCCGTGGGTTGCGCCCCTGTGTCGGTGGAGTTTCTTAGTCACCATATGGCTGGAATACTGCCGATGCGACTTTAAATACTCACTCACTCAGATTTCATCATCCGTGCTCCCTACCCTCCCTGAGTATCACAAAGACTTTTGTATTTAAAGCACCTTAGAGGATTGTACGCGACAACATTGACGTTACAATAGTTCTGTTTCGTGCCTTCAGACTATTAAAAATAGGTCACGTAAACAGCCTTTGCTGCTAAAGCAGCAGTCAACAAATCTCTGACACCACTTCCAATCGCATACACTGATTCTAAAGCCGTGATAAGATGCGTGACTTTATGCAGATGAAGTGTCACTCCCAAGTAGGTATAAATAAATTACACGGAACTAAACCAGGTGTCGGTTACACCTACTTGGGATGTCAGTACCGATTTGAAATACATTATGTTTACCAAGTGATTTAATCGTAGCATTATAGTTATTTTCATTAATGGCTAAATCTATGAACAATCACCAATGCCTGAAGGAATGGTGTAAATCCAGCTAGGGTCCCATGCAGGTAGCAAAAAGTAAGTCCTCATGTCCCTGGTATGGTTATCCCCGAAGATCCGGGTTAGAATTGGTGACTATGTGTCCGACTCCACCCAGCCGTGAATGGGTACCTCGTAAGGATGGCAATGCCACAATAACTCGGTGCGCCTAGTGGCTGCAAGAGTTGTATGATCCCCAAGGAGTTGAGATTGACAATACGATTTGCCGTTGAGATTGACATCCAGTGAACGAGGGAAAAACAAAGTGCATTTGAGCAGCTGAGCTGAGCTGGATATCGGCGCTATACAAATGTTAGTATGCATGTATGTATGCTTGTCATCGTTAGAGGCGTCTAACTGGATCGAGTGGTCAGACTCCCTGATCATGTATACGTAAGTCCCAAAACTTTCAAAAAAAGTCCCAAAAGTCAATTTAGCTCAACCATGCATTTTAAACGTAGAATATCTATTTCAAATTATGGCTAAATTTCCATACCATCGCCAGCGTCTGAGGGGATGGTGTAAATCCTGTTAGGGTCCATGCAGGTAGCAAAGGCACTGTAGGTCCCCATGGTCCCTAATATGGTGGTTTTCCTTCGGTTGCTGGCGATGTATTGCCCGATTTTATATTGTGTTTTTAAACGATTTAACATTTTACACTGAATTCAGGCTAGTTTTAATTAATTTGTGATAATCTAGTCGTCATACTGTCCTTTAGTGACTGTTTTTTATAAAGTTTATATCTTAATTCACTCACTCACTAGCTGACTTGGTTGGCGCGTCATCGTATCCCAATTGCGTATATCGATGCGCATGTGGTTGATCACAGGATTGTCTGGTCCAGACTCGACTACACACAGATCGTCGCCATATAGCTGCAATATTGCTTAGGGCGGCGTTAAACAATATCCAAACCCAAGTATGGTGATCTACCGTCAGTTGTTGGCGATCTATAGCCTGTTTTTACATCATATATTGTCCAGATAGTGCTATTAGTTTAACTGTATATTGTCCGGATAGTGCTATTAGTTTAACTGACTACTGACTGTGGTATTTTAGTTATTTTACTGTCTGTCCTTGGTTTACAGTATACTTATATTCCTTGTAAAATTCATTCTGGTCACAATATCTTAGCTCATTCACTCCTAGATTTATGCTTTATGTAAATGTGATATTCTAGTTGTTTTGCTGTCCTTTCATGACGGGTGTTTGTAATATACACATATTCCATTTTAATGTCAAATATGTTCTCGTCACGATATGGCTGAAATATTGCCGATGTGACGTTAAATAGTAACTCACTCACTCACTTTATGTAAATGTTCTGCATGCCAAGGCAAATCGGAAATTAACATGCAACGTGTAGTTGCATTTCATCGGCCCATTTTCCCCAAAGACTATTTTTATTATGTCGTAAGCTTTCATTATCAAACCATAGATTCCGCACGCCCAAGAGCCGGGTTCGATTCCCCACATGGTTACAATGTGTGAAGCCCATATCTGTTGTCCCCCGACGTGATATTGCTGGAAGTTTGCTAAAAGCGGCGTAAAACTAAACTCACTCACTCACTCACGATAGATTCCGAATGGGTGGACTTGCAGGTAAAAGTTATCTCAACAATTTTATCCATTTTGTCTGAGAACAGATGAAATGGGTAGGCTACATTCATGAACAGTACAGCTGATAACCTTTCAGTACAGAGTTTCTGAAATGAAGGTCACTTGGGTTTTGTAGAATTCCACCTTGAGGTACGAGGAACATTTAATCCCTTACCTGCTGCCATGACTGAAGGAAAATGGTTGCATGCAAGTCATCACACAGATCTTTAGTCATAAATGCAAGCTGATGATCGTACAATGGGCATTGCTTTACGTGCATATACATTACGATATTGGAGACGTTTATTCACTTACAAGCCGTGATGGATATACATTTTGTCAGTTAAATTCCTAAGATTATTCAGCAATATGCATATGTTGTTACGTTTTTGCATACTGGAGTACAAGTTCTTCCAATGGACTATCCATGAATGTTTCTTCCAATATCTGTTTTACGTCGTATCTAACTCCCTTATTAACTGTCATGATATATTTGGCAATGTTTATGTTTTCACCATCACAAGCCAAAAATAGAATATCCCTGCCAGTCGTATCAATGAATGATGAGTTTGCTCCATTTTCCATCAGTAAAAGAAACACTGCTCTCTTTCCATGAAGAGCCGCCATCATTACTGCCGTCTGTCCGTTGTCGCCTCTGCTGTTTATGCTCAGAATGTGCTGTGAGAGAATAAATTGAACTGTCTCAATATTTCCTCGTTCCGAAGCAAAGTGAAGAATATTGTTGTCATCCTCATCCAGAAGTGTCAGATTCGCTCCTTTCTTCACAAGTAAATCAAATACTTCCATGTTGCCTTCTTCTGCTGCAATCATTAGTGGAGTCTTTCCAGTCTCTGTTCTTGTGTTAATATCCTCCACCATATTCCGAGTCAGAATATATTCCACTATCTCCATGCCTCTTCCACGACAAGCATGATGGAGTATATTCTCCCTTTGTTTATTTACTCTTGTTAGATCAGCACCTTTACTTACGAGCAAGTGAAACGCCTCTTTAAATCCGTTCTCTGCTGCTATCATGACAGGTGTCATGCGATCGTCATTTTCTCTATTGATGTCCACAGTATTATGTTTGACTATATATTTCACTATTTCAGGATCTTCTGATAGGATGGCGAAAATAAGGATATTGTCATGATCATCACTCTCTTTTGTCAAATCTGCTCCTTCACTTTCAAGCAAATGCAACACTTCTCTATGCCCACGACGCGCTGCGTACATTACTGGTGTCCGTCCCCTATTTCCTCCTTTGTTGATGTCTTCACTATATCGTGTTAGGAAATACTTCACTATATCCACATTTCCGCCTTTACATGCAACATGAAGGTTGTCATCAAAACGTTTGTTCTCCTTTATAGTTGCACCTTTGCTGATAAGCAAGTAAAAAATCTCTTTGTGTCCCTTAAACGCTGCCCGCATTGCTGGTGAGAGGCCATCATCGTCTATGGCATTTATGGTTTCAATTTGCTTTCTGAGGATATTCTTTACAATATCCACATTTCCTGCTTCACACGCCAAATGAAGGACATTAGCGTCTTCCTCATCTGTTAACAACAGATCAGCTCCTTTCTCCAGCAGAAAATCGAATACATCACCATGACCCGCATTTGCTGCTTCCATTGCTGCTGTTCTGTCCCTATCAGTTAGGCTGTTTATTAGATCAATGTTTTGTGCAAGAACATGTTTCACTATTTCCATATTCCCTCCTCTGCATGCCTTGTGAAGGATTGTTCCGTCGATTGCCAAATTAGCGCCTTCGTGGACAAAGAAATTAAACAAATCTAGGTTCCCGTTAACTGCCGCATACATTACAGGTGTAGACTTCTGGTATTTTTTGTTTATGGCCATCCTGTTGTGTTTGAATAAATATTTTACGACCTCGGTATTTCCTACCTTGAGGGCATGATGGACAACAGTAGATCCCTTATCATCATACAGTGTAAGATCAACGCCTTTACTCACTAGCAAATTAAACACGTCTCCTTGACCCTCACGCACTGCTACCATTGCTGGCGTTGACCCGTCCTGTGTTCTGCTGTTGACATCTGTCACATTCTGTTGGAGTACAAACTTCACAATTTGAATGTTTTCCCCCTCACATGCCAAATGAAGGATATTCGCCTGTGCAAAATTTGTGATTGACATGCTGGCTCCTTGCGCAACAAGAAAGTAAAACACTTCAATATCTGCATTCTGTGCTGCAATCATCAACGGTGTCATTCCATACTGATCCCTTGTGTTGATATCTGTTTCACCCTCAGATAGTGTGTACTTGATGTAAGCATTTGACTGAGATCGGTATTGCATATGATTCCTTATTTCTGTAAGAAAACATAGAGATTTGTCATTACATTGATCTGTGATATACTTTTCAATCTTCCCCTCGAGGAATGAGTCTCTGCACTTTGTGATATTCCAGTTAAATTACAGCTCACTGGCAATAATTACTTCTGGACCAGACAAGCTAGGCCTAAACTAAATTCAATAGTTCAAAGTATATTGGTTTTCAAAATGAAATTGACAACCATCAAAACTGAGTTGAATTTCATGGCAAGTTTGTCTGTTGCATCGTGTTTGACTGACCCAATTATTGTAACATATGTTATATTTGGGATTACACTCACTTAGTAAAGTACAAATTCTAGTACTTTTGTTGAGTTGAGTCCCATCCGGGATTCGAACCCACACCCTCAGAGTCATACACCTAATCGCCAGTACACAAAGTCAGCCGCCTAACCAGCTCAGCCACCGCGACTTCCACTTTGTGTGCTGGCGATTAGGTGCCTGACTCTGAGAGTGTGGGTTCGATTCCCGGATGGGACTCAACTCAACAAAAGTACTAGAATTTGTACTTTACAAAGTGAGTGTAATCCCAAATATAACATATGTTACATTTGACAACTTTCTAAATGACACTATGTAATCATGACCCAATTATTACTTAAAGGTCACATGCAACGTAAAACAGAACTTTGCAGATTCTGATACCTTTCGTAGTTCTAACGATTCACGATTCACTAACTTTCCCCCAGCGCTTGGGGGAATTGGAGTGGTTTCAACAGCTGGGCTGCGCTCATAGCACATGCGCAGTGAAATAGGATTGCGGAGCTTGGAAGCGGGTTGTCCGGTAAATATTAGGTGAAGGCTTTGGTGTGAGCTAATTTTCTAATGTTTTGTTGATATTTCACAGGCGCGAGCTTTTTATATGTTATTACAGTAGATTGCCGATTTAACTGTTTATATAATTTCATTAGTCTATTTCACCACACGTTCTTCTTACCGAGTCACTTTCTCAGTTCGATACTTAAAAGCAATGTCATTATTTAGCGTCAACAGAATTTCTAACTGTGATATAGATATGTCGTTGTCACAGACAAAACTCAATGTCTGTTTTATTGGCACCTATGTGTCTGCCTGCCCGTTTGCTAATGACAATATTCAATACACAGTTTCAATCACTGACCACATGCAATTTGAACTTAACACCAATCAGGCTATACACAATAAACAAAACGCATTGATTTATGGCCCGAGTTCGGTCTCTGTCACGTTATGTAATTACACAGACAGGCAGGTGTGATACTTGTACACATAACATGTTATGATGTCTGTTGATTGCAAAATGTTATACACAAAAAATGAGCATGTATTTACAAAACCCAACATCTCTATATATACACACATAATGAGCCGTGAGAGCATCTGCAAATGAACCAGCCGTTACACTTGAGCGCACACCCACCCGCTCTGACTGGGTTCGGTATCCCAGCTGCCTCGTTTCTTGGGAAGTAAACCCAAGTACAAAATATTGCACTTTTGATTTGCGATTGTACGCTTATAATTTTGTTTTGATGTTGTTTCATAACCAGCAATGTATATTATATGTCATGAATAAGTGATAATTGTGTTTTAATTATGTTTGATTTTTTGGTTGCATGTGACCTTTAAACTGAAGCCAGACATCTCCCGAATACAGGCCGAATTTAGAGATATGTCAAAGGTAAGTCTCATCAGTTTGTTAGCAAATAAATGGTACACAATCAAAAGGGTACCTCTCTACCCGAACTCGTATATGTTTCAACCTAACCTTCAACGCTTTGAATCACTACAATTGTCAAAGGCAGCCAATGTGACCATTGGCAATCTGCAAGTTACATGAAGCTCCCGTCCCGTGGTGCAACTTTGACCAGTAGAATTATTGAGAATGAGCCAGCTGATGCAGCCTGTTTGCGAGTAGCACCTCTAAATATCACCCTGTTTGAAACCCAACTGCAGACGAGCCGACATCAAATGACACAAGGAATTCTTTCTTTTTGAGACCTGTGAGGTCCATGAGGGTCGTGTCACTCACACATCGGTTCCTGTATGTTTGTGCCTTTACTGTGTGTGTTCCGAAATGGATTTCACCTAAAAATTGTCAAAAATGCCCATACAAATTCAATTTTAGTCACTACAGATTTAGTGAGGTTTTTCGAATACGACACATAAAGGAAAGTTATGGTTACTACAGGTTTTAAGCATATGTAGATTTTAGATAAATGGTTAACCTTGCGTACAGTCCCTAACAGCTGAAGGGATGTAGGCACAAACTGCCGCTTGAACGCAGATGTTGGTAGGTGATGGAGCGTTTTTGAGCCCAAATGGCATAACGTTATGTCGATAAAGTCCTTCTGCTGACACAAAAGATGTAACACGTTTAGCATGCTCAGTGAAATCTGACATCCCTTCAATAAGTCACACTTGGAGTGACTGATTGTATAACTTCAGTCATCTCTAACTTCCATCAGTCTTTGGCAAACGAATGCAAGGAACTCCATTCACTTTGACTTGTTTCAGGGATGTCATTGTCCAACATGTATTGGATTTCCTTCTTAAGGACTTGAAGCTTGGATTTATCCGGTAGGGGTGTCGTTTCACAGACACATCGTCTCTTATATCTACTATCAGCAATATTGCTGATGCGGCATTAAGCAATATTCACTCATCAAATCACTCCTACATAAACATCAAGGCACATTTAATCTGTTCGGACAGGCACGTCCGAAATGATGGCATGGCTCGGTGCTTCTACTACTGTTCTACTGTTCGTCATGCTTGTGGCTTTGACTCCGAGGTCCATGTACTGGGTGTCATGAACATGTCCAGGGCGTCATGGAAAATCATGCTTTCAAACTTCTTTGGAACAGGCCCATATACAGCCTCAGAAGAATTCCAGCAGTAGTATATACAATAGCGGTATGAGATCACTTCTGACAAAAGCCTCTGTAAAGCTTTATTTATTAAATAAAGCTTTTATCAGGCCTTATCTCTTTCCGCTAGTGTGTATACCACTTTTTGCTCGCCCCCCCAACTTCCTGGTCACTATAGCCACAAACCGACACTTTCCTGGTCACGTGACACCATTGTGATCACTCATATCAACCTATATAATATTGATCTCGACGAAACAGTTTAATGTGAATCTCCTATGATTTCTTTGGTTTTCGTAATGAAGGCTTGTTGGGCTTGTTGTATCCCTTGTTCTATGTACTTTTTTTCTCGTCTTCGCTGATGACAGTGCTTTTACGAGACTTGGACCAAATCTTGTGAAATTTTGCGATATTTTGCGAGTTCAGAGAGTACCAAACGAAACTCTTGCTCAGAGATTTTGTTGTCCGTGAGTGCGGTGGAAATATGATCGCTTATTGTGTTTAACTTTGCTTCAGCCAGAATTCTGATTTCATCGTGTTTCAATAATTTATGATGTAATTTGCGAGAAGCAAACTTAAACACCAACCCCACCAACCCTGACACCCCAGCTGTTATTTCAATACCTAACACTATAGGTGCGGCTACGATGGTGGTTAACAAACCGACACCTACCGCTCCTAATCCCATGCTGGTTGCCATAAGGGTGGTATCGACCCCGTCCACGAAATTGAAAGCTCTATTACATTTCTTACTTCATGACGCCCGTATATCGCGATCTTGTTCTAGTTGACACTTTATGTCACATAACTGTTTCCACCGAAACCCGTCTACGGTTTCCAGAGTTTTTTGCTTCTTCATCTACTACTGGGTACAGCCCCATCCTGTGTGTATGATATACAGTGAAGCCCCCGTTAGTCCGGACTCCGATAATCCGGATGTCTCGCCTCCCGGACGATTTCAGCTTGTTACCAATCTATGCCTATATAATTTGCCTCGATAATCTGGAAATTCGGTTTCCGGAACCGGACGGTAAGTAGCTGTCACCAATCAGTAAAATAAACAGTAAATTGCTTCACAGTCCGGACGCTGTAAGTCGTGTTCACGAACCGTAACAACACCTCCCGGCGATGTTTACTTTAATTAACTGGCCAACTGGGTTGTTGTTTTAATTAGACATTAAAAGCTCCGGACTGAAGATGCTGTACATTTACACTTTGATTGACACCACAATACAAAGGCGTGGATGACAAGTGAGCTGTTTTGTGATTGGTTAATGTACTTTGACAGACAGATGCGGTCACGTGGACTTAAAGTGATTTTGCTTTACGACAATGCTGCAAGTCACAAGTGTGCTTTGCTAACTTTGCAAAATATGACCAAATACCACGTCTCATATACAAACGATCGATGCAGGAATAATTCGGACATTC